CCCCTTCGCACACCGGAGACTTCACCATTTGGGCCGCGTTCGCCCTCGCCACAACGGCACCTTCATGCCACACGGATTGCATCCGGGCCTCGTTGTCCAACTCGCGGCCTTTTGCGCGCGAATTCATCGATTCGAAGCGCCTCGCGGTGATCTCGACCGTAATCTTCGACCACGCCACGGCCGTACACGACCCTTTGGCCTTTACGCTCTGCTTGGAGCTCACCAGGAGTGGGCGCATCGACGCGGGAACGGACACCGAGAAGCGAAGCGACTGTGTCCAGAGGTGGCTGGCCGCTCGCAGCCTCACCGGATGGCCTCACGCCAGCGGTGGCCAGACTCCTTTCTCCGCTTGTCTCTTCTCAAGTGGCCAAATTGATAGACGCCCAGGTTTCCTCTTGTAGTTCCTCTTCCTCCTCCTCCTCCCTCAGAGATAGACCACGCGTAGGGCAGTAAACATGTGAGAAAGTTAATGTGTATAAAAGCAGCCTCCTTCTCCTTCTTCTTCGTCCTTATGATCATAGTTGCTGGTGCTGGCTGTAGTGAGCGGATGGGTGTGAGGGGCTCTGAGGCAAGAGGCGGCCTCTTCGCGGCACGCCAGATGGTGGTGGTAGATGCAGTTGGCCAGGTACTCGCAATACTGTCGGTAAAGGCGCGGCGTGTCCTTGAGCACAGTCATAAAGGGTATGTCGTGTCGGGTGGCGTAGACCTCGAGGGCAAAGGCCTGCGTCACGCTGCGCTCGGCCATAAGCATCAAATCCAAGAAGGCCAGGTCCTCGGCCTCGACCGTGTATTGCGGATGTCGTCTTGCCGCTTGGCCCGGTTGTATTCGGTCTTTTGGTCTTCGTAGGCGCGCGCGAACGTCAAGCGGATGAGGCCAGACAGGTCCCAAGGCCCGACGTCCTTGATGGTTCGGCCTTGGCCATACCTCTCGATGAGGTCGCACATCCGTTGGTAGCGTTCGATGAAAGGATGGAAGTGATTGACAGTCGCCAAGCCTAACGTATCATGGGTGTCGCCCTCCTCCTCCCCCTCATCGCTGCTGCTACTACTACCGATTCTGTCGCTGGTGTCATTGTCGTCACTTTCATCCTTGTCGCTCTCATCGCTGTGATTGATGTTGTCGCCGACAGAGGAGCCACAGACTGCCAGGGTCTGTGAGGCTTGCATGTAGGCGGCCATCCGTTGGTCTCTCGTAGTGCGATACACCTCGTCAGCCACACGAGGGAAGGTTGCCTTCAACATGGCGAATGAGCTCTTGCGTCCTCTCTCCATCTCGCGCCGGGACAGGGATAGTGCTTTTGGCGTTGGCGACCCACTCGACCTCGCCCAAAAAGACAGCCGACCTTGCGGCGTGGTGGTGGTGGGCGAAAGAGACCAGAGAGGCTTGTCTTGTGGGGAGTTTGCACGTATGGATGCGTGAGAAGACAGACCCAGCATGTACACGAGAGGCGCGGGCCAATCAACTTCTCCCCCGTGGCTTGCCAGCCTCTGTGGCCGTCCAGGCGGAAAGATTGACTTGCTACTGAAACCGCGTTACAAGGCACGCCCTTGGCGCGTGCGACACGCCCCCCTCGAATCTTCGTCCTTTAGCCAAGCAAGCCATCACCCTCCCATCTTTGTTGTTCTTCTGTTTGATGTTTGCTGTGACAATGGCAACGACGACGACCACGACCACGACGATGGATTGGCAGCGAGGCCGTCGCCGTGGCAATCTAATGGAAATGCACCTTTTTCTTGGACGAGCAAGCGGAAACTGTGTCGACATAAAACAACAAGAGCGAGTGTTGCGCGCAGCCACGCCGACTGTTTATGTGTCAGGGGGCCTGGGACCCATAGATAGATAGATAGATAGATTATAGCACAACGCTGCACCTCACAGAACCAGCAAAAAAGCCATGGCCACCACCAAACTGTTTTCCCTTGCCGTGTGCACCAACCAAGCCCCGCCGTCGTCGGTGACCTTGGCGTCCGTGATGGGCGGCAGCCACTCGGGCGCGTATGCTTGGCCGAATCGCACGTTGGTGCCTCTCGTGGCCCGCCACGAAGATCGAGTCAGGTTCGAAAATCTGCTGCCTGCCGTCGCACAGCCCTCGGCGACGACCCTGGCCCGACGGACAAACCTCCCCCCTGAAACCAAAGAAGACGAACCGGCCAAGGAAGACGACCCCGACGCCCACTTTGCCAGCACATGCGACGGCTTGGTGCTCGCCCCGAAGGACGTGCGCATGACGGCGGTCGCCGATTCGGCGCTCGACACCCTCAACTACCTTTACTCCAAGGGCTGGAGTCTCCCCACGTGCATGGCGGCCAACGCCGCCTCATTTGGCAACCTCCACGTGTTGAGATGGCTCCACAAGCGCGGCGTGACAATGGACCGCGCCGTCGCCGAGAGCGCCGCCCACGCCGGACACATCAACGTGCTCAAGTGGATGCTGAACAAGCGGCTGGCACGGCCGACAGCATCGCTGTGCGCCGTGGCCGCCGGCGCCGATAGGATCAACGTCGTGCGCTGGCTGCGCAGCGTGGGCTGCCCCTGGGACACGCGCGTGACCGACGCTGCCGGCTTCCACGGCAAACTCGACACGCTCCAGCGTCTCATCGTCGATATGCGCTGCCCCTACTCTGCGGCCCGCCTCATGTGGAAGTGTGCGGGCGCGGGTCGCCACGACGTGGCCGCATGGCTCCACGACGAGGGCCACGCCATCCCCGCCAGCGCCCTGTACAACGCCATGATCCACAACAAGGTGGAGACGGCCAAGTGGGTGAGGGCCAAGGCGCCGCCGATCCCTTGGAACTATGCGACGGCCAACGAAGTCATCGTGAGAGGCCACCTCCAGATGGTCAGATGGATGTTTGCCGAGGGCTGCCCCTATGTCGGGCAGATGGCCATCTACGCCGGTGCGTGCGGTCACACCGACATACTGGCCTTCTTCTTGTGTGAGCTCAAACAGACGCTCGGCGCCGAGGTTGCCCTGGCGGCGTGCAGCAACGGCCGAGCCGGCGTCTTCCAGTGGTTGGCCGACCACCGCTGCCCCCTTGACTCCAACGAGTGCCTAAACGCCGCAATGCTGTTCGCCGCCGAGGACGTGGCGCGCAGCAACGAGACAGTGACGACCGTGATACGCTGCATGCGATACAGGAAGCGCGTTCGACCTCCACAGCAGCAGCAGGAAGAATCCGAGAGGCAGCATATCGCCCCTAGTGCCACATGTGCACCGCCGGCCAAGAGACCCGCCTTGGCGTCCCAGCAAGACCGGCCCACCACAACAGCCCACCCACCACCCGCCGCCGTGCCCCTTGTCCCCGTGAAAGCAGAACAATCCTAGTTCATGGCATAAGCCATTCTTCTTCCTCTCAGTCGGTCAGTTCAACAAGAAAGATGAAGACTCGATATCTGCCTCTTCGCGCGCCGAGGGCGTGCAGCGCAGCAGTGCCGACTCGAAAGAGCAGGGGCTGGCAGTTGCCAGACTTCGAACCAGGAGCGCTATCTCAACCACAGGCGACTAGTGACGCACTGTGTATTTGAAGGGCGCTAGTCTTTGTCGCAAAAGTAGTTGTTGGCCGCCAAAACCTCCACCAGGTCGTCGTAGGCCCGGCCCATCCTCACCTTGTCAACTTTTCGCGTGAGAGCCACCAGAAAGTCGCGGTGTAGTTGGTATTTCATCAGAGTGTAGATGACACACTTCATGTTGCCTTGCTTGGCAAACTTCTCGCACACATGCAGGTGGCTCGTGGCAGAGCGAAGGTCGTCCAGGCGGCGCTTGCGTATGTCTCGACCATAGTCTTTCAGTTCATCCTCGAGAACCGAGTGTAGAGCGGCCAGGGCTTGGGCTGTCTTCTCTGTGGCTTCTTTGGTTGACATCCTCCGCTCCTGTGGAAGATTAGGGAGTTCCTGGCGTGCCGACCCTATCTTCTCTTCTCCAGGCTGAATGGTGTGCTTCTTTTTGTTTGGCTCAAGTGTTGGTTGGCGCTTTCCGAGAGAGCGACGATTCATGGCCGTGGACCATTTAAGCGCGCACCAGCCTGCGTCTTCACCTCCTGCAAGCGATTGCCTTGCCGTTTGCCCCTTGGGCACCTCTGGCGTGGGCGCGTGGCTCAATGTGGGTCTGAATTGCTGCAACAAGCCCATACATCCATTTAGACGGTGATTCTCTTTACGTTTCTCAAACCCCCTCTCTTGTCCATGTCAAGGTGCAAGGTGCAAGGTCTTTCGTTTTCAAAACGTCAAGAATTGCACAAATTAGGCCCAGTGCAAGTTGAACCGCTGGCCAGAGGAGGTCGGGGCGGCGGCGTCGCACAGCAGGGCAGCCTGGTTGCTGGGCCAGATCCAATTGGAGCAATACTTGTCCAACTTGGTGTCGTAGAGGTGCACCGGGTAGCCGTCCTCGATGATGTCGCCGCCGGCAAAGCCCGCAGGCTTGACAAACTTGAAGCGGTAGTTGTTGGCGGCATCTTGAGGGTGGCCGTTGCACAGGAGTGGGTTCTTGGCCCAGGTATGTGTGTCGCCGGTGATGTTGCGCGGCACGCACCACACCACGTTGTAGTTGAGAGTGCCGGTCGGGTGATAGTGGTTGCTCTTAAATCCGAACAGCATGTTGTACTGGATGGTGTCCTGGCCATTGCTGCTGTTATAGGCCCAGCCCGAAAAGGGTGTGGCCTCCCACTTGTCGGTGCCGTCAGCGCCGCGCATGATCTCCTCGAGCGACCAGGAGTCGTCGACGCGAATCCATTCCCTGCTGTGGGCGCTCCACAACTTGAACGGCGTGCTCGCCCAGGTTCGACCTGCGCATGCGCTGTGGCACGCGAGGGCGAGGAGCAAGGTGACAGCGACAAAGGTGGTAGTGGTGGAACGCATGCTTTTGCTTATCACACAGGAGGGTGACAAAGCGCTCTTTGGTTCTTATGGTGTTGGGTTTGCCAATGTTCTCCCACCGCTGTGCCACACCGCCAACACCAAAAGGGAGACACGCTGCGGAGGAGTGGAAGACTCGGAGAACAGAGAACTGGATCGACTTCGCTGGATCTTTGAGTATGCCCAACCTTACTCTGCACCCTCATGACAGCCAGAGTATGTCGTATTTGGAATGTTTCGAGGCTGCGCTCCGGTGTAGGCGACGACAACGAGGAGGGGGCTTGCCCCACCGCAGGTCGCCAGTTGCAAGAAAGAGACGCGCCCAGGAATCGACGGCCCGCGCTATGGCACTTGAATGTCGTCGTCTGTCCTTGAAAGCCAATGTCGGATGGACCTCTTCAGCGAGCATGTAATTCTGCACCGTTTTTTATTAGAAGAAAAAAAGGAAATGATTCCATTGTCTCTCAGCCATTGCGCCTATGTATTCAGTTCGTCACCTCTGCCGAGCTCCCATTCCCACAGCGGTAGTTGGTGGACCCATTAGGGTTTTCTATCGACCCTGGTCGCGTGGAGGGCTTGTAGGCGTTGAGCGTGGCGCCCGCGTTCATAGTCCTTTCGGTTGGGGGTGTGGATGGACACGGCGACTGATGTGGCGCAGCAGCCAAGGCAGAAGAGGAGTTCGGTGGTTGTTAGGTGGCATGCAAAAAATAGCACTCAGGGTTTTGGGGTTTGGGGGGTGGCTATTCATTCCCATCGGGTGGCCTGTGACATCCAACAGTCGGAAACCTAATCGGCCAGCCCATCACCAATCCAAAGGTGTCAATTTACTCCCCCACCGCCGCCAATAACTAGTGAAACGACGATTGGTAGTCTACAGTTGAACATAGCCAGTCCCAGCCAACGAGCCACAATGAACAAGCGAGAAGATGAGAAAGCCGTGATGTGCCTGTGCTACCAACTCGAGCACATCGCCGACAACTACCCACCTCTCGCTGACGATCTCAAGCGGGCTGTGAGCAAACTGATCAAGGGCTGGCATGCCAGGGAAGCCTACGAACGCTTCAACAACAAGATCGATGCCAGAACGGAGAACTCACTTATCGAGGACGCCGAGGACATGTGCAGCGTCAGGTGCGACGATCTGTGGGCACCGTCGGACCTACAGAGCACCATCAAGTACCTGCCTGCCGAAGTTGAGACCAGGCCCGAGTGGGCGCGCAATATGGAAGTGTTGTGCTTCATCGACGACCACGACCAGGAGGAGGAGCACCCTTGTGCCAATGGGGAGGATGGTGGTGGCGGCAACGGAGGCAAGGGCGAGGACGACACGAAGAGCCGTGCCGGGTGGAAATACGAGATCCCTCGTTCTCTCGCGGCATGCATTCTGGTGCGCTCTCTACAAAGAGAACGCATGAACGCCGAGAGCATGCTGCAGAGGCACATTCACAGGGCCAGCGAGAGGATGGCGCTAGCCTACTCCAAGGCCATAATCCCACTGCTGGCCTATTGTGACATTGCCCATCCTGCCTAGATAAAGAACAACACAAAAAACAGTGGTCAGTTTGGTGTCTTGTTTTTTTGCCGCTTGGGGCTCAAAGGCCTGAAGCCGAAAGGGTGGCGGCGTGGCCAGCAGGGCGGCCAGATTGTTGGGCCAGATCCAGTTGGAGCAATACTTGTTTAGCCTTAAGTCGTAGAGGTGCACCGGGTAGCCGTCCTCGATGACGATGATGTCTCCACCAGCAAAGCCCACAGGCTTGACGAACCTGTAGCGGTACAGGCCGCCGATGCCATTTTGAAAGCCGCCCGCCCAGATTTTGTCAACCTACGGAAGTGTTTAAAGGATGCCAGGCAGTAAGACCACCACAAAAGGCAGGTACAAGAACGGCCGTCTACGACCCCCGGGAGCTCTCTGCACATGGCAGCGTTGTCACTTTACAACATGAACGTAACGCACCTCGACGACGAGGCCCACAACCTGGCCGTCCTCGGCTGGCGTGTGCGCTCCCTTTGGGACTCCCCTCCGACGGGGACATTTCGCGTCGAGTGCGGCAAGAGGACGTGGCGCCGCGACGCCCACCGCTGGGTCGACGAAAAGGACGCAGTGGCGACGTGGGACGACGACTTCTGCCCGCACGCGCTGGCAATGATGGTGAGCCCCGACTTTTGTGTGTGCGTGGACGGACGCACGCTTGTCCAGTGGACAGATACGTACGCCCATCGCCTCTCGCGGAGCATATCCAAAGTGTTGGCCGAATGTCTGGAGGACAGGAGCGGTGTCAGGGCGCGCGTCGTCGCGCGGCTGCTGCGCGACTGCGAGCACAAGATCGAGCATTCAGCGGCAGCCAGAGGCAGACCGGATCTCAGAGCAGACGGGCGGGCGCTCTCCGCGCTCTGCGACACGCTGGAATCCCTCTTGACCCTGATCGACGGGCACACCGTCGGGATGCCCTACTGGCTGACGCTCCTGGTCCGGGCGCCCAAGGGCCAGAACTGTACGTCAACGCCTCGGGATGCATTTGCTCTGGCGCGCTCGACCTACAACGCCAGGACTGTCGATCGCCTCCTGCGTGCCACGGTGGGCGAAAAGGGTGGAACCGTGCACATCGGGTCCCTCGCCATCCGTTTCGACTATGTGACCGGCACCTGGCGCTTTGCCCCACGACATCTATTCGACCGTGGGACAAAGGCATTGGACGTGCGAAGAACTGGCACAGACGGCCGCGGTCATCCTGGAGGCCGACCACCGCAATCCATGTGCTGCTGCTGGGCGCCGGGTCCAGTTTCTATGTGCCCGCCTTTTGCACACTGGTGACCGCCATCCTCGAGCACGGACCCTCTGTCGACGGCCATCAAATCTTGGCCCTCCAAGATGCCATTCGGGCCATCGAGGACGACCACGACCCGACTGCGCCCTGCCTCGCCTCGCTCGGTACCGCCAAGACCCTGTTGGAGGTGCTCGAAAGGACTGAGTGGGTGCGTCTAGAGGTCATCAACCCGGCCATCCAGAAGGTGGCAACCGAGGCTGTATCGCGCGTGTCTTCTGTCCTGTGTCGAGACCGGCTTCGGGCAACTTTTGACTGTTCATAGGCACGCTTGATTCCCAACTACCGAACACTGGCGTCGTCGACAACCCTAAGGGAGTGGCCCAAACGATTCATTTCAATAGGCCCTGGTAAGTGGTAGGGGGTAGAGAGTCATTGAAGCACGTGCGAGCGAGTTTCTATGCCTTCGTGCCGCTTGCTGGGGGGGACCAGTCGCGTGGCACGCAACGCCACTTCTCCCAAGCACTGAGTGAGCCTCAACCGAAGGCAGTTCTACCGACTTCGTCCTGTACGTTGTCTTTGGCTTCACCAGCAATCTCAACCACGCTACGACTGCCGACGGCCGGAGAACAGCATATTGCCATCGAGTAACTGCCCAATGCTGCCGTGCGTCCTACAGCCTACCCGGAGCGCAGCAAGCCGACATCGACTTTCATCCAGAGCGCTTGGGACCGACCCCGCGCGCCAGAATTCAGCGTTCACACCGGTGAGCCGCGAGCATACGTCCCACCAGCCGTAGCTGACGGCGCTCGGCCCTCGATCGGGTGCGCGACAACATGTTGCAAAGACAGTGCTGGCCAATTCAACGCACGTACATCGAAAACAAAAATGTCGACTTTCTTGTCTGGTGAAGCAAGTTACGGAGACAATTTAATACACGTGCTCGGGACTGCAGTCCCCCACAAACCAACACCTTCTCTTGACCACATCACATTTTTTTCGTTTACGGAAAGTTAGAGCGAAACAATTTTCTGACTTTTCGCATACAGACCCCCACCGCCAACAAAATGGCCACAGCAGCAGGACAGAAGGCGGGCCATGTGGCGCTGGTGACGGGAGCCTTCCAGGGCATCGGATTTGCCATCGCTACCCAACTCGCCCGCGCTCGCCCCGACTTCCACGTACGCCCCCAATTCTCCCCCTTGAATTCCAAGAGATTTGGTGGGCTGAAGAGAGTGGTGGTGCTGCGTGGCCTGCAGGTGTTGGTGGGCAGCAGAGATTTGGCGAGGGGTGAGGAGGCGGTGGCCCAACTGAAGGCCGACGGTGTGGCCAACGTGGGCGTGCTGCATCTGGACATCGACGACATAGGTTTTGGCAACGGTATCAACGGCGGTGCGCAGTCCTCCATCACCACTGCCGCCGACACCGTTGCCAAGACCTATGGAGGTGAGAATTGATCAAATCTTTATATTTGGTATTTTTATTTTCTTTATTACTTCTTATTATGCATTGTTATTTGCTCATCTATTTATTTTATTTGCTGGCGAGCAGGGCTGGACGTGTTGGTGAACAATGCTGGCATGGCCTTCAAGGGGTTCAATGTGGACGTAGCGAGGGCCACGCTGGCCACCCATTACTACGGCCCAAAGAACGTGACCACCTACTTCCTGCCGCTCATCAGGGACTATGGTGCGAAGCAAACACACACATTGCCTCATCATCACCTCCTACACGCGATGCCATTGTACATCTTGCTTTCAAGTCAAATGGTCACATCCAATTCTTACTCTATGCCTTCTTCATGGCGTCGACATCACAGGACGTGTGGTGAACGTGTCCTCGCGAGCCGGCTTGCTCTCCAAGCTCTCCTCCGACGCTCTGAAACAGGCCTTCACCCGTGAGGACCTCACGCGTGTACGTTCTCCTCTCCCTCCTCCTACAATTTGTATGGGTGCGAGCGTGGCGTGTGACTCTGACATGTCCGCTCTGGTGTTATATGTAGGAGGAGCTCGACACGCTGGCAGACAAGTTTGTGAGCGACGTGGCCAAGGACACGTTCACCGCAGAGGGCTGGCCGTCCACCACCTACGGCGTTTCCAAGATTGCCGTGAATGCCCTCACCCGCATCGTTGCTCGAGAGGAAGCCAAGAACACCTCCCGGTACCCACGACACACACGACACACGCGCAATTGCTGACTTGATTCGTGTTATCAGGAAGGGCGTGTTGATCAACGCATGCTGCCCGGAAGCCGACGTGGCCGTCTACCTCGCCCTCCTGCCCCACGACTCGCACTACAACGGCCTCTTCTTCGCCAAACGTCAGCAGATCGACTACTGAATGCGAATAGAAAAATAAATAATAACACACATTCCTTGGTCGATGTATGTAACTTCTGTTGCTTCTAGAAGCTCCTTGCGCTCGCCAAAGAGGAGACCGTTGAAGGTGGCATCGGGCGGCAGTAGTGCCAGACCTGGTTCATGCCCCGCAACGTGTCCACACCTGGGCTCATCGCGGCCAAAGTTGTTGTGGACTGGTCGGCAATGCTCGCTGTAGACCCGGCCGTTGGGATAGTCCGCCGACAGAGGAAGACGAAGGCAGCCAACGGAAGCGCCCACGATTTACCTCCCCCCTCAAAGCACGTCCGGCAACTGCAGCAGATCACGAACGCCAAAAGGGCACTTTTTGCGCTGGGCAGTATGTACCACTTCTTAGTGCGCGTCCCGCCCTCGCCCTCGGCATCCGAGGGCTGACCATTTACCTTTGGGCAACTTTGCCTAGCGCTCCAAGACATCGTCTCGAGGGCGAAGGAAGACCGCACTGGCCGCGCCACCCCCAAGCAACCAACCGAGACATGGATCTCGTTTCTCGTGTCTGTGCATGTCGAGCGCTCGGCTGGCAACGGCCAGGCCGTCCTGGTGCCCGGTCCTCCCTTTGCCAACATCATGCGCGACGACAATAAAAGTTGTCACCAAAGAGGACCGTGTTTATTGTTGTTGTTGCTCGCGGCGGGTGCGATCACAGCAGATGGGTAATGGGGATGAGAGTGCGACCACCGCTGGCCTGCATCGTTGCGACGGCCTTGGCCATGATTTGCAAGTAGTAGGCCAGGCAGTCGTTTGTCGTCGGGGCGGCGATGGCGTGTTTCGCGTGTTTTCAAAGGTCGCCGCGGTAATAGCCCGCCATGTCGGGCCTGTTGATGCACCGGGTGAGGATGAGCACGATTTCCTTCAGCGTCAGGGAATCGGCATGGTCGCCTGCTGGTTGTGGAAGCGAGCGCGAGCAGTTGGCTGCGGTATCATCGCAATGGCCAGATCGCCAAACAACGGGCTGCAAACGGGACAGATTCCCTCTCGTCACTCCCTGCCATTCCGAAAGTGGATGATGTTTGGTCAACAAGAAGTCTTGTTCCTTGTTCGAGGGGAGTGCAACGTTTCGCGATTACCCACGGGCCTGGACTGGCAGGGTCGACGCACCGTGACACGGGCAGCAGTTGGCCTTGGCCCACCTGAGCACGTCGAGGTGGCGGCGAGCCATGTGGCGTACTCCTCGCGACGGTTGCGCGCAACCAAAGGCTTGGCCTCGACCTTGGCCCCATCCAGGCGGCAGCGGCGCCACAGGTGACAGACCCAATGGAGCGGTAGGGAGTTGGCGAAGCCAAAGATCCACGGTGGGTGTTGTTTATTGGGAGCAATATCTCTCCACGAGGTGTCTGTTCCGAGGATTCGTAGGGAAAAGGGTGGCTGGATATGTTGCTCGCACCAGCGGCGCACGGCCAGCGGGAACGCTACATCTTTCACTGGGCGCGAGCCACACGCCACCAACAACAATATCTACGCTTGTCAGTCGTGGGACCCTGAGCCCCTTTTATATCCGGCGCCAAGCGATTGTTGGAATAGACAAACCAGCATCACAGCGACCAACACACGAACAAAAGCATTTAGTTTTGGATTCACTTGTGGGCAGCATCACGCAAGGGAAGAGAGGCAAGGTCAACGTCATTTCGGCGTCTTCAGAGCAGGCCGCGACCGTCGCGCAAGGGACCCCGCTTGTGGGTTCTGTCAGCCAAGGCAAGGGTGGCAAAGTCACCGTGTGGAGTGTGTACCGCCCCAGCGTATTTGTGTGTCAAGAAGATGTCCGCTCGCATGCAGAACAAGGTGGCACAGAAGATTTGGGAGTGTCTGCATCATAGTGCAGCCATCTACCGCTCTCCTCCCTCGCCAGTTCTGGCGGCCCCTCTGAAACGGCCCTGAGGGTCACTTGCCCATTAATGTCCAGCGGCCATACAACTCTAGGATATTTCCTGCTCTTGGCCGAAACAAACTAGCGTCCCTAAAAACCGAGTCGAGCGCACAGATATCCTTGTATATCACCCACCTCGACCTCACGTCTCTTGCTCCGCCTTCCCTACGGTTGCCACTGTCCACCCGAAGACCGACCACGACGACGAACACCCTCCTGGCTTATTCACAAAAAAACCAGCCGCCCCTTGCCTTCAGACCAAAGACCATGGAACATCAGACCAACACCGACACCGACCTTCTCAGGCCACAGGTCTCGGATGACTCGCTGCAACAACTACATTACTTTGCGCGCCAGTATGGACCGCTCAACAGGCGAAAGTCGGTCCTCACGCGATGTACCGGCAAGTTGCGGCCTGCAAGACGCCAGACAGCGGAAGGGAACAAGTCGCGCGCGCTCGCCAAGTGGGAAAGTCTTACCCAGCACGACCCTGGCATGCCACAGTGGAACCACGCGCACCAGGCGGCGTCAGAGAGTCTACGCGAGATCCGCATCTTACAAAACCGCGCCATCAGAGACCCGTATGCCGACTATGCCGGCGTAAGAGTCGAATGCGGACGACGATCGTGAAGAGGGTTGCCACTCACTGCCCCGCTAAGCGACCTATCTCTTTCCTTCTGTTTGTACATTGTCCATAAGAAATCCCCCGCTCTCTGGTGCTGTTGGCGCCATTAAGCAAAATCTTCTTCATCATAATGATAGTAAGAGTTGTCGCCCTCGCTGTCATTGTCGTCGCTGGAACAATAGTGGCGATGGTCTACATCGTCGTTGTCGTCATCATCCTCGCAAAGCAGGTCCGCAGCGATGGCGATGATGCTGTCCAACGTGTGCAACACGTTTTGGCCGAATGAGGTCAGGCTCGGGCGGTCGCACTAAGAGAGCACGCAAGCCAACGCAGTCCGAGTCGTATGGGCCGCGGCGATACGGCTCTGAAACTCGGCGTCTTGCTCCGCGGGGTCGAGGTGGAAGCGATGGTGGGATTTGCTGATGCGCGTGGACACCGACTGTTGGAGTTTGCGTGTGGGGCATTGACGCGTGCAAAGAAGAAGGGTCGGCAGTGCCTCTGTTGGGAGGCAGGTCAGAGCAGACCTGAGCATTGGCTCATCTCCCCAAAGAGCCAGCGGCCGAAAGGGGGCAATTCTGGCGAGCAAATTTGGAGCAGAACAGCGTTAACGTTCTTGCCCTCCACGACGACATGGCCTCTGCGATGCGCAGCCCCAGCCCCAAGGAAGACCGCCCAGCGGGCGCCTTGCGGTCCATGTTGCTGCCGCAGACAAGAGAGGCGATCTGGTAGACCACCAGCAAGTGGCCCGCCAACCTGCGAGCGGAGGCGCGGGTCGACGCACTCGCGGCGAGGCAGGAGCAGCCCCCCGATAGGGCTCCCTCATGTTGGTGTCGTCGAGAGCCTGCGCCAGGAGAGCTCTGCCATCGGGCGCAGTGGCGTAGCAGCAAGTGGTGCTTGCAACAGGCCAACGCCAGGCACATGTAGTCGCGAGGGGCCAACCAACCCGCGAGAACGATCACGCAGTCTTCGTTCAACCAGTACCAGAGACTGTCGATCTCCTGCCGCGACATGTCTTCCCGTTCTCTTGGCTGTTGGCGCAGGGCAAGGCAGGTGGTGGCACAGGGCTCGAGCAGCCAGCGGCACAAAAAATTAAATGCAGAGACCACGGAAAGTCTAGAGAATGATGATGGACGAGCGAGAGGGAGCCAAAACACAACGGCAGCCTCTGGCGGCTGGCCGCAGCGGTAGAGAGAGCAAACACTGGCAGATCCAGAGTATTAAGATACGAGCCCGTCCCCCCCATCCTCTTTGTCTCCCACCTTCACTTGCTTGAGATCACCTCCGCCACACTCCAGCGTACCATTCGGCCACCCTCGCCCCTAATGACGTTTCCCTTTTTCGCAGCATACATGGCGTCCACCACCACCACCACTTCGCTATCGTCACCGTCAGCGTCGTTGCTGGCATCCTCCTCATCATCGCCCCATAGGATATGCTCTCCCACTCGCCTGACCACTCTGCGCACGCCGTCACCACACGCACGGCGCGGCATGCTGAGTGGCGCGGTGCCACCGGCGCCCTACCTGTCGCGCTGTGCCTCGCCGGGACGAAGGGGAGAAAAGCGCATGAGAGCCCTGTTGTGTGAGAAGGAGTCACCTTCTCACGGGCTGAGCTGCCCTTGGCGTGCGACGGAATTTTCCTGTTGGAGTCTGACGACAAAGAACACGTGTTTCCCCACCTGCTCCAATAAAACAGAGCACAGTGCACCACTGCACTCTGTCTCTTCTTCTACCCTCTCTTGTCCACACGTCCACACTCGCTCTGCTCAACAGGTTATGGGCCCACAGCCCTAACCATGACCACACACGACAAAAACCCATACGTTCTTAAGTCCACCGTGCACTACATGCAGTGGCGTGAGCACATTGCCATGTCACTTCGAGCTCGAGGCTTGTGGAACTTCGCGTTCGACGACGTCAAGGAGCCGGTCGCGCTCCAGGACGAGACAGCGGTCCACCTCTTCAACCGAATCGAGGAGTACCACCAAAAGCGACAGCAGACCGCCGGCTACATCGGCCTGTCGCTGGGTCCTCACTTCCGATCCCTGATCAAGGGAAAGGAGGACGACCCCCGGGCCATCATGCGGCACCTCGACAAGGAGCTGCGGCCCAAGACGAACGCCACGCGCATGGACCTCCTGCGACACTTCGTCAGCATTCGCCGCAAGCCGGACGAGGAGATCGAGGTCTTCTTCGCGCGCATCGAAGCCGCGCAAGCCGAGCTGGAGGAGAGCGGCATGGTGGCCAATCCAGCGTACCAACTACTGGCCATCCTGGACGGCCTGCCGCCCGAGTACGACGCCGTCCGCACCGTCATCGAGTCGGAAGATAGGATCGACGTGGAGCGCGCCAAGCGTCTGATACGCCAGCAGGATGGTGTGTTCACCGCGCGCAGCCTAGTTACGTCGGTCAACGCCGCCAGCTTCTCGCGAGACAGACCGCGCAACAGGGACCGAGGTCGAGATCGCCGGCTCAGAACCGACCGCCCGCGCGACGACAGCAACGGCCGCCCGTCAGGCAGACGAAGCCGCAGGGACGAGCGCAGCCAGCGCAAGAGCGACAGGTCACAGGACGAGCCTGTCTGTTACTACTGTCACGAGCCGGGCCACGTACGACCGGACTGCCCCAAACTACGTGCCGCCAAGCGGGACGGATCGCGCGCCAACGTTGCCATGGACGACGCCGACAGCAGCAGCGAAGACGAGACCATCCTCTCCATCACCGATCAGGTGAACGTTGTCAGCGACGAGACTGGCCATTGGTACCTCGACTCCGGTGCGACACGACACGTCACCTGCAGGAAAGATCTCCTCCACGACTTCGTCGACTACAGCCACAAGGACCGCGGCCTACTACTCGGCAACAACTACCGATGCCCAATCCTCGGCCGTGGCACCATCAAGGCCACCATCACCGTCAACGGGGCAACACGACGGATCGCCATTCATCGCGTCCTCTACGCGCCAGAGCTGGCCAAGAACCTCCTGTCCACGGCCCTCATCGCGCGCAACGGCCATCAGGTGCGAATCGACAGCCACGGTTGCAGCGTCATCTCTGCGTCTGGCAAAACCGTGATGCAGGCACACCTCAGCGGCAACATGCTTCGCCTGCCGATCAAGCCGATTCCGCCGCCACCCGCGCCCGCACAAGCATTCACGGCGAAGGAGCCCATGGTCGACGTCAACGAGCTACACCGACGACTCGGCCACGCCCGCGAGAAGCGCCTACGTGCTGTGCTCAAGGAGCAAGGCCTCAAGTGGCCTGCGGCCGGACTGGCCGAGTGCGCCGTATGCCTACGTGGCAAGGCCACACGCAAGCCCATCCACAAGACGCCGATGCCGCGAGCCGCCGCGCCGATGGAACGCCTACACAGCGACGTGTGTGGGCCGGTCTCGGTCTCCACAAGAGACGGCAAGCGCTACTTCGTGTCCTTCGTCGATGACCACAGCCGCTACGCCACAGTCTACCTGCTGCGCGCCAAGAGTGAAGTCAAGGACGCGCTACAGCATCACCTACGGTCCGCGCCATCGGGACGCAGATGCCGCTTCCTGCACACCGACCAAGGAGGCGAGTACAAGAACGACGACGTCGCCAAGCTACTGTTCGACCACGGCATCACACACGAGACTACGTCATCGCACACGCCAGAGCACAATGGAGTCGCCGAGCGCTTCAACCGCACGATCATCGACATGGTGCGCTGCATGCTACTCGACAGCAGCCTGCCCAAGAACCTGTGGGGCGAAGCGCTCTCCCTGGCCGTCGCAGTCAACAATCGACTCCCCACGAGCGCCAACAGCAACGTCGCACCGATCGTCAAGTGGGACGCCACTCTCCAGCCGTCGATCACGCATCTGCACCGCTTTGGAGCCCCGGTACAGGTGCTGATACCGCCTGATCAGCAATCGAAGCTTGGCCCACGTACCAGGGACGGCGTCTACCTCGGCCCAGCCCGCGAGAACGCCACTCATCACCGCGTCCTGGTGCAGGGCCGCATCATCGAAATGAGGAACGTCACATTCAGCGACCATGACGACAGCCAGCGCCCACCGTCCAACATGCCACTCCAGCTGGCCAGAGAACAACACAACAACAGCAACACTCCCACAACAGCAGACGACCTGATCCATCATCTCCCCTACAGCACAAGGCGCGCCCCATGGGACAAGGCAACCACCACGCTGCCTGTGTTGCCGCTGACCATGCTGCCTGCGTCGCCGCTGACCACGCTGCCTGTGTCGCCGCTGACCATGCCGCCTGTGTTGCCGCCAACCACACCGCCTGTGTCACTGCTGACCACGCCGCCCGCGTCGCCGCCGACCACGCTGCCTGCAACATCACAGATCATCACCAACACTGAGCCAGCTGACAACAAAGACAACAAGCCAGCACCACAACCACCTGCCAAGCGCCCAAGACCATGGCCCTCGCCAAAGAAGCCGCCAGTCTGAACTCACTGACCCAATAAAAACATCTACAACCGCAACTACTGAGCATTTGCAGCTGCAGATCTCAAGTCCACGCTGATCAGCACACTGAACTCATACCGCGAAGCCATGGCCAGCCCAGAGGTGCACCTATGGCTGGAAGCCATGACTGAGGAGATCAATGTGATCACCAGGAATGGGATGTTCTGGCTTGTCTGCCTTCCTAAAGGCTGGATGGCAATTGGCACGCATTGGCTATTCAAAGTAAAATGCAAGGCCAACAGCCTCATCAATTGGCTTAAAGCACACTGGGTCACAAAAGGATACTCCCAGCTCTTTGGGATCAACTTTGATGAGATGTTCTCACCTGTCATCTGCCTTGAGAATCTCTGACTCCTCCTCGCCATCGCCACCAACCTTGGCCTCACCATCCACCAGATGGACATAGACAACGCGTTCCTGAACATGGAGCTCATGGAGGAGATCTACGTCGAACAGCCTGAAGGCTTTGAGGACTGTGACCATCTGGACTATGTATGCCGCCTGCAGAAGAGCCTCTATGGCCTGAAACAAGTGCTGTTGGAGTGGCAATTGACAAGGGCAACAAAACGCTGGTGGAGGGATGTGTTCAGCATGTTTTTTCTTTCTCTGAGCGTCAGGTTAGGAGAGAGCACACTGTACACACACGATGATTCGCGGCGAGGACGAGACTGAGATGCGGGATGAGCGCGCGGAGGCTAGGGAGCGTTTGCTTGGCGAGTGGAGCTCGATTCAGAAGCTCCCCTTCAAGGAGTTGGGGCAGCTCTGCGGGCTTGTTGGCGTTACGAGGTCGAAGTCGAGGATCGACCAGCTGGTCCATCTCAAGGTGTGGCGCGAGGCCCAGGGCGTTTCCAGTCGTGCCAGTGGCCGGCGGGCGTCTCCGACCGGCGGGAAGCGAGGCCGGCCGGCTGTCGACGAGGAGGAGGCTGAGGACGACGACGACGAGGATGAGGAGGATGAAGACAGTGGTGGCGGAAGTGGTGGCGAGTTCAGCGAGGATGTGGCTGGCCAGGGCTTGTCGCCGGGGCGGGCTGGTGTGGCGGCGGCCATGCTTGCCGCAGTGCATGAGGTGCATGGTTTTCGGCGCCTGGCTAAGGTGGCGGTCTGGTTCCCTGATCATAGTCTTACTACAGTGCATGGTCAACACAAGTACGATTTTCTCAAGAAGATCAGGTGGAAGGTCATGGCGGTCTACTGTGATGCGCCTGGCAAGGTCCTCAAGCTGATCACAGAGCTCCAGGAGGACATCAAGAGCCATGCCCACATTGTTGTTGTGGGCGAGGAGGAGGGCTGGGAGACAGCAGGCTGCCTCAAAGAGGACAAGGGCAGCTTCATCGCCAGGCGGCAGGACAAGCTCACTGAGGCTTGGAAGAAGGCTGAGAGCCACAAGAAGGTCTGTAAGGCGGCCCCAGCAGACTCACTTTTTTGGTCAGGCTGGGCAGGGCGTGGTTGTGGGGGTACAAGATATCCTGCACCTGCCAGGGACGACCGTGGCATGCCTGCGACTGGGGACCCCCCTGCTTCAACGGTGGAGCCGTGGAGCCAGCAACTGGTGGGGAGGAGCATCACCTGTTACATGTGCAGTGGCAGCCACTACACCAAGGAGTGTCCCAAGAAATGGGATCAGCTGGCTGCGTGAGCCTGCCCCCGTTGAGTGAGCTGGTGGACGGGTGTTGGGAAGTGTCTGCGCGGAGGAGATGGCAGTGGTGGAGGAGCAGGAGGACAATCTGGGCGACCTGCTGGCGCTGATCAAGGATGAAAGTGACAGCGAGGAGGAGGGGGAGGACGAGTGGTGGCTGGAGAGCGAGTCAGTGGAGGTGGATGGCGAGGAGGGGCTGCTGCAGGGGGAGGGGGCAGTGCCACTCTCAACGTGGCGCTGGCGGGAGCCCAGGTGGGACGAGCACTATGAGAGTGATGGACTGGGCGAGACCAGTCCACGCCACCTGGGCACCCCTGGGGCGGGCGTGGTGCCAGTGACGGATCTGGCAGAGCTGTTGGTGGTCGGCCGCCTGCAAGCTTGGGCAGCGGCGTGGGTCCAGATTGGGGCATCTGACCAGGTCCATTCATGGATTGCCCACGGTGTGGCGTTTGAGTTGTGGGCCGAGGTCTTGGAGGACTGGCGCATCTTCCTGGTGACCCCAGCGCAGCAGACCTGGCTGCTCACCGAGGTGGAACGCCTGGTCACCACAGGAGTGGTGGAGCTCATGGGCATTGGCCCATCCAAACCCACTGGCATTTGCTATGTGTTGCCAGTGTTCTGCGTGCCGAAGAAGGGACCGAAAAAATGGCGGCTGGTCATTGACATGCACCGCATCAACTTGGGGATAGCTGAGTGGAGGGTGCGGTTTGAAGGGCTGTTGTTGGTGGCCTGAGTGGCTGGGAGGGGGTGGTGGATGATCACTTTCAATCTAGCACAAGGCTACCAGCACCTCCTGGTGGAGGAAGAGTTGCGCCAGCTGCTGGGCTTCTGGGTGGGCAACTGCTGGTTCCACTACCACGTCCTCCCCTTCGGCCTATGAATCTCACTGTGGGTGTTCATGAAAGTGGTGTGTGCCATGGTGTGGGACTGGCGGCGTCAGGGCATCATTGTGATGTCCTACCTGGACGATTTTGTTGTGATGGCGCCAGACTGTGAGGCCCTGCAGCAGATCCATGACACAGTCATTACCCTGACACTGGACCGGCTCGGGTGGCTGCGCGAGCCCACCAAGGGTGAGTGGGAGCTGACCCAGTGTGCGGAGGTGCTGGGGCTTGTCGTCGACCTGGGCATGGGCCTGCTTCGGGTGCCAGAGCCAAAGGTCGAGGCGCTCGAGGGCCTGTGCCTGCGCAACGTGTGCGACCACCGGACCAGACGCCAGCTGGCTGAGCTGGTGGGGTCAGTGACAGCAGTTTCCAGGGCAGCGCTGGTCCTGCACCTCTACCTGCACAGTGTCTATCAGCTGATTGGGCACAACTGGCGCGGGTGGAATCGGCGTGTCCTGATGGATGTGGCGACGTGCGGCGACATCGCGTGGATCGGGAGCAACATTCGCTTGGTGGCGGGGTCACCGCTCTGGCGCCCGTCACATGTCATGGTATTCCAGACAGATGCCTGCGACACGGGGTGGGGAGCTTGCATTCCCAAGGTCGGCCTCCAGGCACGTGGCGCGTTCATGGTGGACGAACTGGCATGGCCAATCCACCACAAGGAGATGAAAGCGGTCAAGCTAGCTGTTGAGATGCTGGGGCACTATGTTGCTGGCTGGTGGGTTGAATTTGAAAGTGACAACATCATGGTGGTTGTGTACCTGTGTGATGGTGGTGGCCCTGATCTGTGGATGACTGACGTCATGTGGCGTGTGTGGCTGAGGGCGGTGGCCAAGGGTTGTGGAGTCTACAATGTGCAGTGGATTCATGGGAGCATGGACAACAGGGAGGCTGATTGGCTGTCACACTACTCCAACACCAACAATTGGGAGCTCTCCTGGGACATTGTCGCTGAGCTGGAGCAGCAGTTTGGGGGCTGGGACGTTGACCACTTCACCAACAACCTGAACGCCAAGGCTCCTTGTTTCAACAGCCTGTTTGGCTGTCCAGGCGTGGAGGCCGTGGACGCGTTCACGCAGTTGTGGAGTGGCATGTGCAACCTTCTGGTGCTGCCAGTGCTGCTCATTGCACATGTGTTGGCGCACCTTGTTGAGGCTGGAGTGATGGGCATCCTGGTGGTGCTGTGATGGACTGGGCAGGATTGGTGGCTGCTGCTGCTCCTGGTCTCCGTTTGGTGGCATGGCCTGGGGCATGGCAGTGACTTCGCCAGGCGTGGCCTGTCGGGGGTGTTCAAGCTGGGTCAACGCCACGAGTGGCTGTGGGAGGCCCACGAGGTCAACAGGTCCCAAGCGCAGAGCTGGCGCAGTTAGAGCAGCGGGCGGCAGAGCTCTTGGCGGCCGCCAGGGCGCCGTCGACCATGCGCGTGTATGATAGGTGGTGGGACGAGTTTCGAGCCTTCGTGCTGGCACGGGATGCCTGCCCGTTGCCGGCGGCGGAGGTGATGGTGGAGCGCTTCGTCGTGGCCCTCGAGGTGGCCAGGTGGGGCAGTGGAGTTCGTGCGGCAGTGGTGGTGGTCTTGATGCATCACACGTGGGCGGGTCATGTGGATCTGTGCAAGAGTGCACGTATGCGGGATCTGGTTGCCAGCGTGGTGCACAAGTGGAGCCAGAGAGCTGTGCGGCGGCGTCATGATCCGTTTCCAGTGGCGGCCTTGCAGGCGTGGGTCACAAGCCAGAGGCGTGGCGACACGTGGGAGCGTGATGCATTCCTTGTGGCGCTTGGCTTGTGAGCAATGCAACAGGCGTTGGAGCTGGCGGGGCTTCGCCTGGAGGACGTCAAGCTTGGCGACGGCGGGCTGCGCATGTGCATTCACAAGGCCAAGAACGACCAGCTCAGCAAGGGCCAGCTGGTGTTCATCGAGCCGACAGGGCGTGCTACGCACCTGGTGTGGCTGTTCCAGCTGTTCATCCAGTGGAGGGGCCATGCGCCTGGCCTGCTCTTCATGACAGTTGGCAGCGGTGTGATGTCGTCAAGCACGATCAGCGCAGTGTGCCAGCGCATGGTCATGGCAGCTGGGCTCAGCACGCAGGTCTCATCGCACTCTCTGCGCATCAGCGGCGCAACGGCCACCATCGAGGGTGGCATGACAACGGAGCAGGTCATGACCATTGGCGGGTGGCGGAGCGACGCCGTCAACAGCTACCTGCGGGCGCGCGAGCTGCCAAGTATGGCGGTCTCACGGCGCATGGGCCTGTAGCGCGTGTAGGTGCTGCAGGCGACCTTGTCGTCGTCACGGTGGTGACGCTCGAGAAAATACAAGTGGTTGTTTTTCTCGAGTTTTTTGGTGGTGCGACCTGGGAGGTCGGGTTCGCTGACCGACTCTCTGTTAGGCACCCAATGAAATATCATGTGTTTTCAGCTGACGCCGAGGGAGTGATAATGGATTGAAAGTTAACCCTAACTTTCCATGTATTGTCGTCTTAACTCCTTAATTGTGTTGTGGTAAACTGCCCACCCCGTAAAGTTTAACATCTGTGGTATTGGTTTGCAACGGTTCAGCATGTTCCTTCTGTGAAGGGCCAAAAAGAAAACTCAGAAAAAAACTCGCTCCCCGTGCCTTCCCTGAGGGAGGGAAACAATTAAAATTGTTCAGGCAAAGAAAATAATTTTCCTTTGCATTCAGCACATGGGAAGAGCTAGCGGACCACATGGAGAACGCGTCAAGGCCGCGTTGGCTGCCTTCTTTCGCCAGGTGGCGCCGTCCGACTGCCGTCTCAAAACCTCCTGAAAGTGCTGGTGCAGTGGTGCCACAGTACTGTGACTCCACACCAGTACTGTGTGGTCTCTTTCCGAAGAAGAAGAACAACGCTGGTACCAACACAAACCTGGTCCATCCTGCGGGGCTATGCGAGGCGCATGGTACAACTGACCTGCCTGTGCGTGCTCTCGCGTAGGAGGCGTGGAAACACATGAGTTGGTGCCTTTGCGTGGTCTGGCGGTGAACGCAAAGGTGGTGGGCATGGTAGCACAGGTGGAGGTCAGCCAGCGATACACCAACTCCGATTATGTGCCCATTGAGGCCGTGTACGATGCTCTCTCTACTTCTCTCAAGAAGTGTCTACCATTTCAGCGGTCCTCATGAATGGAACCGCCAGGTTCAAGTTCAAACAAGAAGAGTGCTCGCTCTACGGCTTTGAGGCCATCGTGGATGACCAACTGATCGTCGGTGAAATCAAGGAGAAGGAGGAGGCTCTCAATGCGTACGTGTCTTTCCTGGATGACCTTCCTTCTATTTTTTCTCTTTCATTTTAAAACACGCACGAGATCACCGCAACCACAGGTACGATGACGCGATCAGCTCTGGCGGTCGTGGGTTCCTGCTAGCGCAGGACGACAAGATCGCAGGCGCCTTCTTGCTTAACGTTGGCAACCTACCTCCTGGCAAGGTGTCTACCCTACCCACCCAAGGTGTCGTTCCGTTTGCCTGTCCAGCTTCGCTCACCGCCATCCGCCCGTTCCGCGCGCAGGAGTGCGTCATCACATTCCGGTATGTGAGCGAACTGACGATCGAGGGCGAATTCGTGCGCATGAATCTGCCGATCACCCGTCTCCCCATCTTTGGCAATGCGACCACCACCACCACGCCCACCGGCCACCAATCTGATGAGTGCGCCGATAACCAATCAATGATCCCACCGCTATGTTTGCCATGCTCATCATTTTTTTGTTATTTGTCATTCGGCAGAGCCCAGCCCAAAGCAGCCGTCAAGGACGGCCTACACGTGACCATCTCCGCCGACATGCCAGCACCCGTGCATGCCGTCGAGTGTCCCTCAGGCCACCAGCTGACGTCGACCATAACCGGCAACACTGCGCGCCTGCAGGTGCGGCTCATGGTCTCACACCCGTGCCCAAAGGATGACACTCAAGAGTTGTTGGCCGGTTCGTTCTTCTTGAGGTGCAGTTTGACTCTAAGACGCACGCATCGAGCACGGGCCTCGTGGTCCTGCTGGGTCAGCTTGAGTCGCGGGGCGAGCCACAGGCCGTGGCTGAGGTGGACCCTGTGGCCGGGTCCGCTGTGGCCATGGTCAGCATTGTGCCGCAGCTCGACCACCTGCGCGACGCCGACGTCATCGCCGAGCTCCTCTTCGTGGTCGACCGAAGTGGATCCATGTCGGGTGGACGCATCGACCAAGCCAAGAACGCCTTGGCCCTCTTCTTCCATTCGCTCCCCGTCGGCACCCGCTTCAATGGTCCCCATTCCCATTCCATAACCCCACAGCAGTTGCAGTGCAACGACGGGCGCCAACTGGGTCTTTGGCGTGCGTGTGTATGCAGTGATCGGGTTTGGGAGCCACTACGTGAAGCTGTTCCCATCGTCCCGAGTCTACGACGACGAGACCCTCGAGCAAGCCAACCAGCATGTGGCTGCCATCCGGGCCGACCTCGGAGGCACGCAGCTTCTCGAGCCACTCAGGGATGTGCTATCGTCGCCCTCCGACCCCAAGTACCCGAGGCAAGTCTTTGTTTTGGTGCGCATTCCCTCAGGCTTGGAAGCCTGGAGTAGTCTGATTATTCCGATGAATCGAATCCTCGTAGACTGACGGCGAGGTGGGCAACACGAACGAGGTGATCGAATGTGTGCGCAAGCACGCAAGAGACACGCGCGTATTCGCGCTTGGCATCGGCTCGAATGTGTCAATGGAACTCGTCAACGGCCTCGCCAAGGCAGGCCGGGGCTACGTACGTGTATTCCTCCGCCTTTCGGATCACCGGCGAGGCTGATGATGGCCGCATACACAGGCCGAGTACGTGGTGTCGGGGGAGAGGCTGGAGGCCAAGGTCCTGCGCCAGCTGAAGCGCGCCCTCCAACCGGTGTTGAACAGCCGGTCATCGAGTACGGCTCGGCGGCCAAGGGCGAGGGCAAGGACGACGGCGTCGTGGTGCAGGCGCACACGCCTGACCCTCTGCCAGCCGTGGTCGAGGGCGAATGCGTCATTGCCTCCTTCTTCAACACCAGTGACACCGCGCTGTACGTGTGTCCACCACCTTTCGCACAGCGTTCATGCTTTCCATGTGCTCTTTGCTTCCACGTTATGTGACGCGCGCGTTGGCTTGATCAGCATCAAGCGCGCGCTGAGTGGGGCCGTGCTCAAGGCCAAGACCGATGTCGAGGGACGTGAAGACGTAGTTTACAAGGTGGAACCCAACAAGAGCATCAAGGAGGGTCAACTGCTTCACCGCAGAGAGCGAAGATCAAGCTTTAGAAGACAAGTTGAAACAAAAGAGTCTAGGTGAAGGCGAGCAGTGGTTGGAGCAACTGCGCTCTATCGCCAGTGATGCTTCCCAAGACCCAGATTTGAACGCAGAGTGGCGCGAGGCATATGAATCGGTGTTTAGATGGTGGTGTGGAGGGGTGACAAGATGTTCCTGTTGTTGATCTGACGTGGTTGATTCTCACCGCTGACCTGAACCTAAGCTTGAACTCAAATCTCGCCCAGGCCGCCGTCAATGCAGGCATGGATCATAAGATCATCAAGGAGTTAAATATACATCAAGCAGGAGTTCCTGCTGAAACCACTGGATGCTGTCATGGAAGAGGAAACCAAATTGAACAACAGGCACAAGGTTCTAGAAGATACTCTCAATGGACTTCAGGGCAAGATTGACAGTGTGGTCTTTGTTCTCACAGATCTGATGCAGTCTTGGATTGAAGGCAAGAGGCCCAGCAGTCCTGTTGTGGTGAGTATCAACATGGTGTGGTTCAATTTGCTCCTGGCTGTTGCCAATTTGGAACTACCAAGCACTGTCCATGTCCCACAGAGGACACCTGAGATGGCACACATTCACAAGCCAGTGCAAGGCCCAGGATGACACACAAGCACCTGCAGATGATTGACACCTTGCAAACCAACTTGCAAGTGATAGTGGAACAGATCGCCTTAGCACAAACTACCAAGACCAGCACCATGCACACATTCATGACCAAGATGGCTCAGGCATCCAGTGCTGAAGTCACACCAGGTGAGATTGGCCTTCTACAGGATGGGCTGGATGATTGGAAGAATGGGGTGGAGAGTGCACTGAATGCCATCAAGGACATTAATCCACTGACAGGAGGTCTCAGGTGTGTGTCATTCATGGGGCCTCTTTGTGTCAAGACTGAACACAGAGGTCATATTGTCATAATCAGTGAGATGACAGGAGAGGTAGTACCCAAGGAGTGTATGACTGAGCCCATTGCCATCAAACTCTACAGGGCCATATGCACCCTCAGTCTGAGGTTCTCTGCATTCTCCATAGCAACCTGCGTGGGCCTTGCATCATACCACATCCTGGGGCTGGCCTTTGTCCTGCGCTTCATGGGAGGCATGACCAGTCTGCACACAATCCTTGGCACCATGTTCCAAGTGCTCTTCTGGTCTTGGGAGAATGGTGTAGTCTCATTGACACACACCTGCTGGCCTGAGGAAGGAGACCTGACCTGTGACATCAACAACATGATGGTGGCCATCATCTGTGCCACTGATCCCAGCAGCTACTACTGTCTGAACAGGAATGAGGTGGAGTACATGTTCACTATCCCTCTGAGCTAGTTGCAGCAATGGCAAGCGACACACCAGGGACAGTGTCCACCTTCAACAATCTGACCAAGCTCACACATGATGCCACCAGCACCATGCATGAAAGTCAACACAACAAGTGACAAGCCAAACTGGGATTAGACAAAGCCTCACAAGAGGCTAGGAAGGAGCAAGAGAAGCAGCAGCAAGTGTACACCACTGGTGGGAACTGGGAATATCTAGTGACTTCTGCTGGTGAAGCCTACAAGCAGATCGCCAATGCTTCCAATAGTGTCTATGAGACATGGGCTGTGGCCACATGATGGGTGTCACTCTTCCAGGACACTCTGGTGCAGATACCAGCAGACTTATGCAACACAATCCTATTCAGCAGTGCTGGAGTCAGCACCATCCACTTGAGATGTGAGCAATTCTTCAAGAAGCTTGACAACATGGAGTACAGGTGGGCCAAGTTGCCCTTCTTCATGAGCAAATGGATCACCATGAGCGTGGCCCAATTCGAAGGCACCATGGGAAACATGGAAGCTTCTGCCCAACAGACATGGGCCATCACCATGGCTCTCACATGTCATCTCCCTGGGATTAAGGATGATGCCATGTGCAAGAGTGGGAACATCAAGGGGAACGCGGCCAAGGAGTTGGCATCCAATCCAGAGGTGTCAGAGTTCTGGAGTGACATCAAGGACATGGATCAGCTGGTCAACCTCATCAACGCTGGACTGTTCATGCACCTGACAGCCGAATCGCCGCCTGGTTACATGGTACTGGCCCCAGATCCCAGTGTGTACAGACACCTCAAGCAGCAGCACTATCTCTCACGCCAGGACGGTGACACACGTGAGCACCTGATCCAGTTCCTGCAACACTTTTTCATCATGGCCGATCTGACCTTCATAGATCTCTCCAAGACCGAACCAATCATGGATGCTTCTGGTCGGGCGATACGCTTCAAGATTAATTCATGGGACTTAGCCAGACACAAGGTGACCGGGTGGGTCCCTGTCTCCGTGTTTGGGAACCGCTCAACCTTTGAAGTGTTATAGTCCAGTAATGGGAGGTTGTTTTGTAACAGAAGATCCCACATGCGTGAAGATGGTGTGGATGATGGAATCTGATGAACTGTTGATCGGTTCCACGAACGCTGACGCTGGCGATATCGTTTACATTGAGAGGGCTGCACGCGGCAGCGTCAACGGTCTTGGAACTGTCTTGTCTTTCCATGTGTGGATGGTTGTAGCGGTTCGTGATGGTGCGCAGCAATGATAAAAAGACAAAGAAAACTAGGGCTGCGAAGATGATGGTTTATTTACTGGGTTAGGGTTAGAGACACACTATTCCAGCGAGATGACCACTTTGCCGATCTGCTCGTTGGATTCCAAGTATTGATAGGCCTCGACGGTCTGCGCGAAGGGGAAGGTCTTGGCGATCTTGGGGCTGAACCGGCCATCGGCAAGGCGGTCATAGATGTACTTCTTGGCGCCGTCGAGGAGCCGAGGATCCCTCCTTGTGACCTCCCACAGGGTGTAGCCGCGGAAGGTGAGACCCTTGCCCAGTGCGGGAAAGAGCGGGAACGGGGTCGGATGCGGGGAGAGCGCTCCGTATTCAAAGATGATGCCATCGGGAGCGGCGGCCTCCGCGAGTTTCTCGATAAAGGGCCCTCCAATGGGATCGAAGATGATCCGGGCGCCCTTGCCCGCCGTGATCTCCTTCACCTCGGCCGCGAGGTCCTCCTCGTCGGTGGCGATGACGTGATCTGCGCCCAGGGCAAGCAGATCATTGCGCTTCTTCGAACCGCGCGTGGTGGCGATAGTGACGGCGCCAGCGTCTTTCGCGATCTGGATCGCGGCCAGACCAACGCTGCTGGAGGAGGCCGTGATCACCACGAAGTCGCCCGCGGCGACGAGGCCGAAGTGGACGAGAGCTCCCCAGGCGGTGAGGTATTGCATCCAGATGGCCGAGCCGGCGGCGAAGGAGAGCTTCTCGGGGTATTCGCCCAGCGCCGTTACCGGCACGATGGCCTCTTCGCCCAGCACGCCGTACTCGGTGAGCAAGAAGGCGGGGATCGTGGATACCCGCTTGCCGATCCAGCTCTTGTCCACGCCAGGGCCGACGGCGTCGACGATCCCAGCGGCTTCATACCCCAGTCGCGAGGGCAGGGTGGGGTTCAGGAGGTATTGGCCATGGTAAAACATGGACTCGGCTCGGTTCAGGCCGACGGCCTTCACTTGGAGCCTGACCTCGCCCTCGGCGGGTTGCTGTGTGGGCAGGTCGTTGAACTGGAGGTTTTCAGGGCCGCCAAGCTGATGGAAGCGAACGATCTTGGGCATGTTGCTGTTGCTGTTGTGATTGTGATGGTGGTAGTTGTAACAACAGGCAGCTGTCTGTCTGTACAGTCGTTAGACCCAACGCTCGCCGAAAGGCAGCAATCGGCAATAGACCCAACGATCGCCGAAAGGACAGCAATCGCCGACGACCAAAAATTTGGTCCTCACGCCATTTTCGCTCTTTGGCCGAGAGTGTCTCCCCCCCTTTTACTGGTGTATGGCCCATCATGGTAGAAAAGAGGGTTCGTCCCGCATCCGGCCACCTGGCTCGCCACCCCACAGCTCGCCGCCGAAGTTTGTTTTTTTAAAGAGAGAGAAAGAGAGAGAGAGCAACTCATTACTCTTCAATCGCATTGCCGCCACAGAAGAGCGAGATCAAGTTACAGCAATGGGACAAGCCTTCGCCACCGGCAAACTGTCGACGCAACTTGTCCAGTGCTTCGCTCCTGCTGGTGGTGTATGGCGACTGTGGCAGGGTGCGGTTGAACTTGACAATTTCGACGGCCTTCTCTGCCAACTCTCTGGCCATCGACTTTGGGAGGTGACCAGCTGCCACCGCCTGGTTGAGTCGGACGATCATCTCGAGGGACTGGTCGTTTTTGGCGTAAGCCATTGCCAGCTTGTTGAAGAAAGTTGGCAAGTGTAGCATAAATACGCTTCCTTGACCAGTGGAATAACTCAGAATCAAGAAGAAGCAGCATAACAGATATTTGACAACATGTCCTCTCCAAAGATTCTGGTAACAGGAGCAACAGGCTACATGTAAGTCAGTGCTTCCTTGTTGTCTTCTTCTTCTTCTTGATGCAACTTACTCTTAGCTCTTGTGTGATTCTTCTTCAGTGGAGGCTTGATCTTGATGACTCTCCAAAACAGCACTGATGGGGACGTCAAGAATGCTCAATTGTTTGGGGGGGATCTACTTTGTGGAGACAGGCAGGCACACTTGGCTTGAACTCTCCTGAGCCATTGTGGCTGCAGGACATGAACTGGGTGTGTTGAAGACTGATGAGGTGAAGAGTGTCACTCTGGAGGAAGCTGTGAGCTGGTTTGGAAGCAACTTCCTGACTGAACCTGCATTTGCTTCCAAGTATGTATAGGCTTCCAGCATGCTCTCTCCTTATATAACTTCTCTATACTTGGTTTAGTTCTTGTACAAGGGCTGATCTGAGCAGAGAGATTGGGTGGAATGCTGTCAAGACTGACAAAGATTGGCAAGTGACCTTCTGTACTGAATTCAATGAGATTCTCAAAGAGCAGCAAGCATAAGCTTCGCCTCTGAACATGCCCTTTGTGCACAATGCTGCAAATGTTAGATTGGTTTATGTGTACCCTCTAGGATTGAAATAGTAGGTGTGGATCATTGTTCCTCCAGTGCAACATAGGCTTTCCTCATCCAGTTGGAGACACATGACCATGCACAAAATTGCATGGGACAAAGAGTAAATCCACCAAAGACCAACAGCGTTTGAGATGGCAAGTGGACAGAAAGAAATACAAATGAAGTGATTCACTGTCCTTTCCCTCCTTATCTTCTTTTGTTGTAGAGATTATTTGTTTGTTTGACACAATGGATATGAAAATCAGAACAAGAGGACAATTTACTTGAGTTCATATTATCTCTGAAGGAACATCATAAGTTGACCATGATCATCCCCTCAGCAGTCGTCCAAGAACTGGATGGCTTAAAAATGTAAATAAAAACAAATTAACCCTAAGTATTTATTTATTTACTTATTTTTTTGAGGGGCTGGCAACCTTGGAGGTGCAGCCAGCTTAGTGGAGTGCTCCATTTTCCTTGGCCATCCTGTCTCATTGTGCTTGAGCCACAAGAGACAAACACAACCTACCGGGGGAGGGGGCTGAAATGTGTTCCAAGAATGCCTGGTGGTGAGAAAATACCAGCTTTAAAAAAAAGAAAATAAAGCCGTGGCTTGGAACAGAGTCACTGCAGAAGGCAACAACCAGTGGAGGCCTTGGGATCGCTCACCCTCACTGCCGTCTCATCTTTGTGGTCATGCTTCTCAATCACTTCCGTGGCTGCAGCGAATACCTCTTTCAATCCAATGTGCTTCTTGGCCGAGCATTCATAGTACCTATGTGTACGGAGGGGCGGGAGGGGCGTGCGTGAGTGCGTGTGGTTGTGGCCACAATACATACATATCAAAGGAGCTGGCGAGTAGTAGCTAGGAGACATGTGACACATACCCCTCGGCCCCAACCTCCCGTGCAAGTTGCCTGCCCTGCTCGGTGGTGATGGGTGTC